GCATTTGTCTGAGAGCCAGGTGTCACAGCAGCCCCTGCATGCCATCGCCCTGACTCACAGGCAGGACCGGCTGCCCTTGCTGCCCACAGCCCTGCCCGGCTTGCAGGCTCCTCAACAGATACGAGACATCACTGGGACTCTTCTGATAGGGCTCATGGGCTCCCCTGAGTTTGAGAAATCCTCCTGTCACTTTTGTTCCACTATGGTCCCTTTGTCCCTAATGTTGCTTCACCCTTCCTTGCAGGGAAAAAGGGCTGAGCGGTTTCTTGCTCACTGGTGTTCCCAAGTGCAAAGCCTTGTGTCTTCAGCTGTCTCAGCTTAGTGCCAAGCGCTTGATGTCCCAAACCTCAAGCTCTTTCGTGCCATCTGCTCCAGTCTGAAGTGAAAAAATGAGCCAAAACTGCAGCTCCATCCCTTCTGTGTTGCTGTGGTGGGGCAGGGAATGTCAGCAAGTCACCCCAAAATAAGCAAGGTGTCACCTAGCTTTGTCTGCAGCATCCCCTGCAGACCAGCTCCGAGCTTCCTGTTCCCTCAGCCCGTGCACTCACCTCCACGTTGTACTTCTTGCGGGCCTTGCCCACTTTGATGGCGAGGTGCATGACCAAGAGGAAGCTGGCAGCCCCTGTCAGCATGACGTAGCCATACTCCTTGGAAAGAACAGCCATCTTGGTGCTGTCACAGAAGGAGAGCCCATTACTATTTCAGTAATATAACATGCTCCCCAGGGAGGCTCAATCGTCTCCTTCCTTGGAGACTTTCAAGACCCGTCTGGATGCATTCCTGTGTGACCTGCCCTATACTAGGTGGTCCTGCTCTGGCAGGGGGGTTGGACTCGATGATCTCCAGAGGTCCCTTCCAACCCCTAACATTCTGTGATTTTGGGGTGTGACTGGAGAAGTAGCAGCTCAATACATGCAGATAGGTGTGAGAGGAAGAGTTGCTGAGCATGGACCCAAGACCTCCCAGCACAGGGACTGACTGAAGGAAGAGAGAAATAGTGAACTGGGGAATTTTTACCTCTTGGTGTCTGCTGGGTATTGAGCAGCACAAACCAAGGGCGCTCTGCTCAGTTCCTGTCAAGCAAGCTTTAAAATCACATAAGCATTAGTGGGAGGTGGTGTCTGGAGGACCCTAGTCCAGCCTCCAGCTCAGAGCAGGACTACAGCCAACAGCAGGTCCCATCAGCAATGGCTGTGGCTGGCCAAGTCCCACGACCTCACTGACACAGTGCTGTGCCTGCAGGGACGCTCTGGAGAGGTGGACAGAAACTGATTGTTCATGGCCACTTCCAGCACCAGAACTAGGGCCACCAAATTAAGTCAGGAAACGGATTTGGAAAAAGAGGGGTGCTGGTGTTTTTTTAATGCAGTGGGAAACAGCTGTGGAACACGCTGCCGAGGGATGTTGTGAATGCAGGCAGTTTTCATCAACTCCAGGGGAAACTGGGCAAACTCTGGGAATAAGAGGTAAATTGGGATTTGTAATACAGACAAATACCAACTGGCTCAGAAATCCCCTGAGCTGAAAGGAGCTGGGCTACACAAACGGTTATTTTGTACTGCTAAGGTCATCCTTACACAAAATAGTAATGAAAACCACCACAACAGCAGTAATAACTGAAGCTTTTCTGTACAGAGGTGCTGGCAAGATGAGTGATGGTCACCCCTGCAGCTTCACAGAACCCTCTTGGGGTCCCCAGTCAATGAGCAGCCCCCACCACACGCAGCTGCTGGCATTTACCAAAACCTGCACATGCAAGTCTGCCAGGCAGGAGACACCAGGGCCTGCGTGGTTTGCCTTCAACAGCTCTGCACTTCCTCACACAGGCCTGAGACCAAACCACGGAGCAGAAGGTGCATCCAGCAGCCTCCACTACGCTGCCCTGCAGCGAGGCCACTTTCCTTCTCCCTCTTTTCTGCTTCCCATCTGCCAGATGTGTCATCAGCTTGGGCTGCTGGGACATGCTTGACACTGAGCACTCCTGCACCTCCCTGGCTGCAAGAGAGCATGAGGGCTCTTCCCCACAACCATCTGACACCGTCCTCTTGCACAATCCCAAACCCCAGATGTTGTCTGTCTGCATGACCCAAGAAGCAGCACAGCAGAAGACAGCAGAGACCTCTCCAGCACCAACACAATTGCCTCACCAAACCAACCCCCACCCTGTGCCTATTTCCATCTGGTGCCTCCACGAGGTAGCGAGGTTTTGGTGTCTCCTGCACCATCCCACCAGCCCAGTCGCTGTCAGTGTGGAGGGGCCACATCATGGAACCGGTGCAAACGGCCTTCATATTGCAGCGGCGCCAGCACCCCTCGCAGGGGATCTGCGGGGACTTCAGGGCTTTAGTTCTCATTTGCAAGGGATGGAGCAAGATGAAGACAGCAGCTGGCTTCCTCCATGTGAAGTTTGGTGAACATTCAGGGAGAACATTCAAAAACTCAAGTAACTAAGAAATGTCAGCTGCACCCACATGTAACAGAGGTTAGTGCCTGACAGGTAAGACACCAAAAATACAACATGTTCCCACCCAGTAGAGCAGGTTGATGGCCACATTTCCCCCTTCAAATTATAAGATTGGTGGAGAACCCCACCTGCCAACAAGGACCAGGCATTTTATCTTCACAGGGCTAAATTAAAATCTGAGGTTTTATCTTGGTAGCAAAGAGCACAGCAAACCATTAAGCCAGGTGCATTATGAAGCTGCTGCTCTTATGGTACTGCTGTAAAATTGCACCTTGAGCCTTTGTTTGAGTCATCTGGAGCAATATAAAGCACTCCAAAGTCCACAGGACTTGGGGTCTCTGATTACACGCCCTGCCTCTGCTTCTGGATTCTGGTGCCTTGTACACTTCAGCAACCTTTGTCCTCAGCTGCAAGGGCTTTGCAAGGGCTTTGCTGACAGCAGCTGGCACCGTGCACAGCACTGCATTTGTCCCTTCCGTGCAGAAACCTTTCAGGCAGAAGCCCCACAACCAGGTGATTCTGGAGCGGGATGGAGCACAGACTGGGAGCTGCAGCAGCCTCCAGGTATTCTGATACTTCAGAACAAGGGTCGTGACCAAGTCTGCCGTAACACCATGGTTATTGTGAGTCAGCAAAGCTGATTAAGTCGCCCCGTGCTTGGATTCTGGCTGGACTGACTACCAGACCCACGCTCAGACGTTCTCTCAGGCCAGGACAG